GGTCAGTGCAATGTGTTGGACTGAAGTGTCTGTTTCCTTGTGGTATGACGCTTTGTGCAAACTTAATAGAACCACACAGAGCAATAAAAGGGCCAATGGAGAGAAATAAGAAATTAGAGGGAAGATTGATGCTTTTCTCAAGAACTCAGAATGTTAATGGGTGATTTTTATTTTTAAGGAATAAAAAGGGATGAGAGTTGGGAGGAATATATTTCCACTGTTTGGAGAGTCGAAAACTAGGGAACCATCTCTAAAAAAAATAGAGACAGGCCTATCAGGATTGAGATTAAAAAATACTTCATGCAAAATGTACTAGAGCTTTAAAATGTTCTTGCAACAACAACTCTTGCTAGATGGATTGCTATTTGATTGATATTTTTATAAATATAGGTATTAAGAAATATGGAGCAACATGTGGTCATAAGCCAGCTAGGATTTCATTATGCATTGAAAAGGACTCAAAATTCAAAAGCAAAATTCAAATGTTCTAAGGCTCTTGTGATGAAAAACTGGATTTTTAAGCAATTCATTCAAATTTCATTGCATAATACATTCAGATAAATGTGTTTCATTGTTTTTGTTACTATAGCCCAGGTAACATTTATTCCTAATTTTAGGTAAACTCAATCTCTGTTCTAAAAATGATACTAAAAGTATCAGTGTTGAAAATAAGTCTGTAATTTTTATGTATTACCTAATATGTTACACGCATGTACAAAATAAAATTACAACTTATTCCTCCGAAAATTAAAATTCAATGCCCTGGAAGGAAATGAACTACTTTTGCTTAGCTATAAAAAGCATCTCAGGCCTGAAGACAGTCAGTTTATTTCTGCTCACTGGTAGCTGCAAGCTGGGACTTTTAATTAATGTGTCTTTGACCTTTCTAAGTGTGAACTCGTTACCCTATGCTTCCTAAGAACAAGTGAAAGTACCTGGAGACAACAGATCGAGAAGCAGCATTCTGATCAGCGAAAGCAAACCCTCAGGGACCACTGAACTGCCCTCTCAGTTTCTCCCTCAGCCCATAACACTCATATCTTACTTTGTACTTGTCTGCATGTGTGTGTAGATGGAGAGTTTTATAAGTGAAATTTTAACTAGTAATGGTTCATAATAGTTTATCTATAGTTAGTGTTTTATTTTATTCATTTATGGGATGGAGGCATTGCTGGCTAGGCCAGTATTTATTGACCATCCCAAATTAGACAGAGGGCAATTAAGAGCTAACCACATTGCTGAGTCTGGAGTCACATGTAGACCAGACCAGGTAAGGACAACAGTGTCTTTCCCTAGAGGACATCAGTGAACCAGATGGGTTTTTCCGACAGTCGACAATGGTTCCATGGTCAGTATTAAACTCTTCCAGAATTTTATTGAATTCAAATTCCATCATCTGCCGTGGCAGGATTTGAACCTGGGTCCCCGGAATATGACGTCTGTCTCTGTAGCAATAATACCACTTGGCCCTCAACTCCCATTTGTGTTTATTTTTACAAATAAATAGATTCTAATTCTTGATAAATAGAAAAACCGGGAAACCTGGCCCTTTCTGTCAATGTGGGTCGAAAAGACGTTTACACTAAGGAATTTTGCGTACTTTTTGAGGTCTAACTTTTGTGCCGCATTTGAGAATAGTGGGGCTTGATTTCAAGTGTGCTATCTCAGTGAGGCATAAGACTATCCCATCTAAATATTGGAAAGACTGGTGCTTTGTCTTCAGTCTATGACACAAACACTGTTCCTTAGCCACTGATTCCATCCTGCTCCCTTGAAATTGTTTCAGATTGAACCACACTGCACAACACCATGGCATCATATTTGATGGAAATGAATATCCAACAATTTATTCAAGCCATGAGTAAAGTTACTTATTTAGACTTCTGCATTATCACCCAAGTCCACCTAGCCTCAGCGCATTGGTTACTAAGATCACCATTAAGTCTGAGGATATCTCCACACTTGACTATTTGAAACACTCCTGCCCCATGTAAACATAACGTCAGCTAAAACTCAGAATTTTATAATTCCCTCATGCCATGTGTTCCCGGCACCCTTGGGCTGACTGATTTACGTTGACTCTTGTTTAGCAATCCTCAAGTTTAAATTCCTCGTCTTTGTTTAAAGATCTCTCCCTAACTCTATAAGCTATAATAGTGCTACAAACCTGATACCTGCAATCCTTCAATGTTGGTCTCAAAAATTCTCAATTTTAATTGTTCTATCACTAGTGGTTGTATATTTCAAGTGTTGGGACCCCAAAGATCTAGAATTCCCTCCCTGAGTTCCTCCACCTTTGATCCTCACTTTCTGTTTTAAGGCTCTTCTTAAAACCTCTTTCTATGACTAAGCTTTTGGCCATCTGTCTTAATATCTCAACTATAGTTAACTGTGAAAGCTTATCCGATAATGATCTTGAAAACTGCTTTAGAACATTTTATGATGTTAGTAGCTCTATATGAATGGAAGCTAGAGGTCATTATTCCTTTTAGAATAGAAAATCATGGGGTGAGGCTTGTACAATTTGCCAAATCAGAAGCAAAACTTTGATTTATGTACAAACAAAACTATAAGTTGACAATCTTAATAGTTTTTGAATTTAATATGCTTACTTTTGCTCCTAAGACTCAATCTCAATTGGACTCTTAATTCTACATCAACAAAGAAAGAAACTGCTGGTGCTTTTTAAAGCAGTGAAGACACACTAGATGTAAAACCAAAATTATGGTCCTGAAAAATATTCTAAAGAGAAAGGAATCTACCATTATTTTACAGGATACTATCACAGCTTTTGCTGTTGAAATTTCAAAACTTATGCTGAAATGTGCAAATGATGCAGCAGCCCCAGAAGATGTAGAGTTGTGCAAGTAAATGTCCAGAGGTTTACTACAAGAATTGCATCACTGTCTGGTTCACCATTGCTATGCATTGAATGGTATGAAGTCTATCTATTTGCGTGAAGGATGTGTTAAGTCAAATTATTTCAAGTCAAAGAATGCTTTTAAAGGTTGTGGTAAGTGTTAATTACTGCCAATAAACATCTATGACATTAAATATTAATAATTATAAACAGATGTGTCATCTTATTCACTCTAAAAATGTCTTTTTACTTTATCCATTTAACATTTTTTATTCCAATCTTTTAATCCTTCCCTTTGTTTTCCCTCTGTACCTCATTTTGGCATTGAATTCATCAACACGCATTTACACTTCCTTAATTCTTTTACTTTACGTTGTTTATTGTACAATCCTTCAAGGTGATTGGTTAACTGATTACTCTGTTCCCTCAGGATCTAGTTGCCAATATTCCCTTGCTGCTACATCATCTGGTCATTTCAACTATTGCAGAAAGAAATTTAAACCCTAATTCTACAAGGGCATGGCATCCAGGCGCAGACACACTGTTAAAGTAAAATCTGGCCTATTGTGTCCCCTTTCCATTGTTTCAATTGTAATGCATTTCACAAACCAAAATGAATAACAGTGATAATCATTAATGTTGTGATATATGTTTCAGTTTATTCTATCCATTCTTTGGTCTAAGAAAGATAATGGACACAGAATGAACAATCCAGTTTAGATGGTACGGCTTTATATGGTGCATCTTTGTTGATAACTAAAGATAACTTAATCCTTGTGAGGCAGGCTCTGCCACAAACGCTGCACACATAGCTGCAAAATGGCAATGTAGATTATTTGCAGCATAAGAGTCTGTTGCCAAGCTGCTGTTCTGTCATTTTACTTTGCTGTCAGCTGGTAACCCCGGGGGGCTATAATTTATGTTTAGGATCTTCATGTCAAGCTTGCAAGCACTCTTGTAGTGGAGCATTGGGCATCCTACCAGTTGCCTGCCTCTGGCTACCTCACTACAATTAAGTCCTCAGCTATGCAGTGGTCTTTCAATGTGTGGACATGCAACTGTGCTATCAAAACTATCTTTGTCTGATGGGCACAAACTTACTTGGGAACTATACGTTTGAGAGGCAATTATTCATTAATCGTATGAAACGGATTGCTCAGCAACCTTCCACCTATGAAAGTGCCATGGCCTAACTTCTTCCTGCTCTAATTTGTTACATTCTTGAATGGTGAAAACATGGTGCATTTTGTTGATGCATCACCTGTCATCAAAAGGCCTTTGAAGTCTCAAAGAAGTGATTGTAAATAGCTGTCTGCTTTACTAAATAGTAGCGGAGGAGTCAAACAGATAATCAAACAAATAAGTGAAAGCAAACCCAACACAGAGGCACATAATGCGATCTGTGGGCTTATGGTGAGAGACATCTTCCTTGAAGGTTGGATAAACGGAGGTGCTTTTACCCAAGACTGGTGACAAGAGAATTAACTAATTTCGCAGTGGTGTCTGGCCAACACAATTCATAGGAGCTAGAGAACTGATGTAGAAGAAAGAAGCAAACTTCGATTCAGCAATATGGCCCTGTAAATGGCCAAAACTGTGTAATATCTATGTTATTTGTCAACGTATTATATATTTATTGCTCTTAAAGTTATTATCTCAATATTTAGCTGTATCTTATGTATAAATGAACACTTTAGCAGGGCCTCATACATTCAGAATCATACATTTGGAAAAAAACACTATTGTCTCTCAAAGGCTTCAGACATCAAATTGTTATTACTTAATAGAGAGAAAAAGTATTGGCAGTGAATCAGGTATGCCAATGTCTGCATATCCCCAAATTTCCCACTGTGTACAGTCATAAAATTTATATAATGACTTGTATAAACATAGGACAAAAGAATAATATAGGGCACTCAGTCCTCCGAGCCTGCTCTGTCATTCAATGAAATCTGATGTTAACCTCAACTCTACATTTCTGCATATCCCTAATAATCTTAATTCCCCCTGTTCATCAAGAATCTGCCTCAAACATATTTAAAGATGCTGCACCCACTGCCTTTTTGAGGAAAGGAATTCCAAAGACTCACGACCCTCTGGAAGAGAAAATATGTTTCAAATATTATCTATTTCCTCTTACTTTTGAGTAATTTTAAAAACGTGCTGTGGATCTCCATTTTGAATGCGATAGGTGATTGGGTCCTTTTCACGATCTGTTGCCTAAAAATATAGAAAAGGATGTTTAGTTATAATAGACAGTTTAAAGTTAGTCAATCACAATGGATTTTCCCATGATTACAGTAATATGTTGCATGTTATAGGCTTATGCTAACAGCTATGGAAGCAAAACTGTATTTTTTTCAATTGTAGAATATTGCACGTCATTGTCACATTTTTTTTTTGGGAGAAGCACAGTTTAACACTGAAGAAATGATGAAATTGCACATCTAAGAATTAAGCATTCATTTATTTATGAACCTTGCATAATATAATTTGAGATCTCTACTGCTAGAATTAAAAATGGTTCTTATAATTTCACCCAATACATAATTATGGCTATTAAATGAAAACTTCAAAGTTAATTCATATTCAAGTGCTTCTGGCAAGGACCACCATTTACGCAGGCACTAAGAAAATGTTTGACTTGCAGTTGCTACTTTTCCAATTAAAAGATTCAAAGAAAATTCAGGACTGCAGGCTTGTGATTTTCTAACTACAATTCTTGCTTGGAATTCTAGGTGAGGTGGTTTAGGGATGAAAGTTTGCAAGGGTTCATGTGGCACAGTGGTAATGTCCCTGCCTCTGGCCTGTGATCAAGTCCCATCTGCTCCAGAGGAGTGTCATAATACCTCTAAACAGGTTGATTAGAAAATCTCTATTACAACTGCTAGGATCTCTTGTGGTGCAGTGGTAGTGCCCACACCTTTGGGCCAGAAGGCCTGTGTTCAAGTCCCACCTGACTCAGATGTGTGTCATAGCATGTCTGAACAGGTGGATTAAAATATCTATTGAGAGCTCAGATAACAAATCAAATTAGTGCAAAAACTTACACTGGTCTGTGACTGACTGACAAATTTCCCTAAAGGAACTATTACAATTGCCAGGGTCTCTTCTGGTGCACTGGTACTGTCCCTACCTCTGGTTCAGAAGGATTCGGATTCGAGTTCTACCTGCTGTTCTATAGAATTGTTACAACTACTAAACAGAGGAGCACTGTCCATCAATAGTAACAGCTGCTATGTGGCAACAATGCAAAACTTAGTTCACCAAATTGCCTTAAAGCCTTCAGTAATCCATGTGTGTATGGTTGTGCAGATAACACAGTCAGAAAGCCTGACAAGCAGACAATATGATCATGTCAATGCTGGACTAGACTTTCCTTGGTTTACAAGCTATATTAGTTACAATTTCAGTAGTAAATAGTAGGAAGGCATGAAAGAAAAATTAGTACATTGCCCAATTTCCTCTATTCCCATGTAGCTTCCAACTAATCAATAATTTGCATCTGCAACATTGAAATCCATGTGAAATGAATGAGCAAAACACAACAACTTCCTTTCCCCAACACCAAGAGCCTCTGCACTACAATAGAATTTGAGATGTTGTTAAACTTGAAAGGTTTCAGAAAAAATTTACAAGGATGTTGCCAGGGTTGGAGGGTTTGAGCGAGGGGGAGAGGCTGAATAGGCTGGGGCTGGGGCTGAGAGGTGGGGTTTATAAGATAATGGGAGGCATGAATAGGGTAAACAGTCAAGATCTTTTCCCCAGGGTGGGTAAATCAAAAACTAAAGGGCACAGTTTTAAGGTGAGAGGGGCAAGATTTAAAAGGGACCTAAGGGGCAACTTTTACAAGCAGAGGGTGGTGCACGTATGGAATGAACTGCCAGAGGAAGTGGAGGAGGCTGGTACAATTACAACATTTAAAAGGCATCTGGATGGGTATATGAATAGGAAGGGTTTAGAGCGATATGGGCCAAATGCTGGCAAATGGGACTGGATTTATTTAGGATAACTGGTCGGCATGAATGAGTTGGACCAAAGGGTCAGCTTCTGTGCTGTACATCTCTATGACTTTAAGTGTAAGCTCCTAGAAAAAAAAGTGTAATTTAGTGATCACTGTGGTAAGCTGAGGTTTCATTCATCCAGTTGCTGAATTACAAATGTTGAAATGAGGCAAGGTTGCTGGGATAGAATTTGCACTGCTGTAATCTTTAGAGCAGGTAGTCTTACAATGCACTGGCAGCTTCCAACTGAGGTAGAAGCCCTAGATTTGAGTCCAATTCCTGGACTCTATGGCCGCAAAAGATGCATTTGTAACACTGCCAAACAGGTTGATATCACTCTGTAAATCCAGCTGATATGCCTACAGCAAATGATAAAAGCAGGAGTGTCTCCTGGTCAGCCATTTTTGTTGTAGAGTAGCAATTCTTAAGATACAGCCTGTGGAGATAGACGAACAACCTGGTCCAGGAAAAAAAAACTACCCATGTGCCATTAGGTGAGAAAAGAAAAATAATCTTTAGAGCCCTGTAAAACAAAGAAATGGAGTACTTATATAATTAATGATAGGGCCCCAGGTAGTGCTGTTGAACACAGAGAGTTAGGGGTTCAGGTACGTATTTCTTTGAAAGTTGCATCATAGGTAGACAGGGTGGATAAGAAGGAGTTTAGCATGCTTGCCTTCATTACTCAGACCGTTGACTATAAGAGTTGGGACTTCATATTGAGGTTGTACAGGACGTTGGTGGGGCATCTTTTGGATTACTATGTACAGTTCTGGTCACCCTGCTATAGGAAGGATATTGTTAAACTGGAGAGAGTTCAGAAAAGATTTACCAGGATGTTGCTGGGACTGGAGGGTTTTAACCACAGGGAGACGCTGGATACGCTGGGGCTTTCAAGAGATTCCAGCCAGTCAGATACAGGCTCAGTAGACACAGGCTGAAGATCTATTTCCGGGAGGAGGGGGCACGAGTTGCTGGGGCCAGTCAAGGAGGGAGGTCTTTCAACATGGTGAATCTTGCCATGGGTAGATCTCCCTGTTGGCACAAGCTGCCTAAGCATGAGGGTTATCTCCCCAACACCCAATCAACCCCAATACTCTGCTAGGGTTTACCCCTTTGCCATGGCAAGACCCCTGTCCAACACTAGTCGAACGTCAATGGGGATAGGGGGATGGTTAAAGGCCTCCAGTTGGGAAGGCAATCGCTAACCATTCCCACCCTAGAAGGAAAAACCTGTGAACTGTGAGTTATTATTGTCAGCAGTCACTCCCTAATGAGTTTGATTGTCCACTGAGGGAATTCCATGTCACTGGTCATGGGTTCTGTGGGGTCTAGCGTAGCTGATGAGCTCAATCCTAGATCGGCATCTTTGACCACACATTTGGTAGGTGTTTCTGGATGGCGGCAAACATTCCAGGTTCTGGGAATGAGTTTGATTTAGGTTTTCGGACTGCAGATAGATGACCCTGCTGGAAGCAGTTTTCCAGTCAGGTTGATGATGGAACAGACTATTTTGAGCATATCTTTTCTTGGCCCTTGCCAAAGTGGGGTGAGCAGAGTGAGTCCTGAAGAGGGTTGCTCAGTTGTGAAGAAAGCAGCTGAATCACTCTCCTGTTCCTATTCCAAGGGCGAAATGTAACTCCACTGTCTACGTGCTGCTCCAGCTTCCTCCACCATGTTTATCCGATATGAAGAAACAGACTCGCAGAACCCAACTGCATCAAATTCCAATTCTCTTTTTGTTGCACTGAAGCACTGATAACTGAGCAGTTTTAAATTTATTCTCCTGTATCTAGTTCTAAAGTCATAAATGGTTCCAGTTTGTAACTCTATAATCTATGTAGCTTTCAGCCATATATTTTCACTTGAAGCAAAAAACTGCATATTCCATCCATTGAATTAGAAATTGCTCACTTTCTCCTTTTTTTTGTACATTTAGGTTTTGGAAGGTCTCACTTCTTTTCCTCAGGGAATCATTCGAGTGAGGGAGAAGAGGGAAAGAAACAAGAAGTGTAGCTGCAGCAGAGGAGAGCAGAGTTTGAGGAATAGATACTGTTTCCTGTAGCTGACAGCACAAACTCCGAAAGTTGTACTGGTTGCCTGTTTCCAGTATATCTCTTCAGATTAGTGTGGGAGAGTAAGAATCCAATTGTTTTGGTTCACATTACTAACAGTGGCATAAGATAAGACTGAGAATATCTTCTAAAGCAGTATGAGGAGCTAAAAACTAAAATAAAAAGCAGAACAGCAAAGATAATAGTTTTTGGATTACTACTTGAGACCAAAGGAAATTAACATATGATAAGATCAGACAACTAAGTATGTTGATCAAAGCCTGCTGCAGGGAAATGGGTTTCAATTCATGGACTACCAGTACTAAGAAAAAAGGACGTGTACTGTACCAAAGTCTTTACCTGATCAGTGCTCTGAAGAGAAATTGATGAACAGCAAATCCTGACAAGTCAAAAGAATTATCTCACTGTAGCCTGTGGACAGAAGCCCTTGAAGTGCCTTCCTGGATAATCCCTACACACACAGCACCAAGTAGTTTTGTCTGCCTGTGTCTATGTTGCATTGTGCAAATCATATTAACAGGAATGATATAATTGAGATTATAGAGACGTGGCTGCAGGGTGACAAGGGATGGGAATTGAATATCCAGAAGTATTCAACTTTTAGGAAGGACAGACAATGAGCAAAAGGAGGTAGGATAGAATTGCTTGTTTAAAGAGGACATTAATACAATAGTGAGGATGGACATTAGTTTAAGTAAAGTAGAATCTGTATTGTTAGATCTTAGAAACACTAAGGGGCAGGAAACGATAGTGGGGATTGTATAGAGACCCGAAACCTTCGTGGTATCACTACAATAGTGAAATTAGACAGGCAAGAAGACTAAAGCCGACATGCCTGGGAGCCAATATGAGGTGATACAAAATTATGGTAATCTGGAGTGTAGCAAAGAGTCAATGACAGCAGAAAAATGACTTCGGCACCTGCTCCTATATTTTGCGACAATATCAACAAATATATGTCTTCCTCCCTATCACAAATAATGTTTCAGTTTTTCTCATTATAACTGAATACTCTTTTGAAATCCAGTACATGACTCACTCTCATATAAACCTCCAGAAACGTTCCTCAACACAAAGGTACTACACCATAAAATGGCAGAAAGTAAACCCAAAGATTTTAAGTGCTAGAAGCATGTAAATC